ATTTACATTTCACCTCATGGGCATCCCACTCACTGCCGGTTCTGCACAACCACTCACCGCTGCTCCCACCTTTTCCACTTCATGCTCTCCCTCTTAAGAGGGCTTCCCTCCTCATCCAATTGAAAAGCTCCTGGTTAGGAGGAGCCATGCATCCAGAAAATCACCTTGAGCGCACAGCTGTCATCCTCTCCACAAACCCTTTCTCTTCCAATTCACATAGTTTGTACTCTCCTAACACAGCAAAATTAAAAACAAACTGTTCTTTCTCTCAGCTGCTTTGTAAAGTAAATAGCCAAAACCCTCCACTACGCATTTTTTTTCCCCTAAGTGAATATGAAGACTCTGGTTTCTTTTTACCCACAATAACAAGGGCAGTTCTCCTCTCAGTAGGCTGGACTGCCTCTCCCCAATCAGGAACACGCACCCTAGGAAATGGGTGAGTGGCCAGCTCCAGTCCTGCACCATACTTCTCACATCACCAGCAGTTTCATGGACACTCCTTCATTTCATGGAGCATTTCAAGCTCCCTGTGGTGGGCAAAAACCTTGTCTCTCGGTCTGTAATATGTATCAGACAGGTTGAGTGATGAGGAGCTGTTGGCACCACAGGGCATGCCAAAAATTGAAAACCAGAATTTCCAGTGAAAACACATTGACCTTCAGGACAAACTCATGCACACATTTATATACACAGCTAAGTGAGCAGAATGCTTGAAAATAAAGGCTAAGGGGTAGAGTTGTATGTAATCAGTGTTTGTATTGCAGGCCAATTTTCTACTCAAGGATTTGATTCAGCCATCAGCATAACAAGTCACTGCGTTTCCCATAAAAGCTGGATCTGAATATAGACCATGGGGAAATCTTGAATTTCTGCTTTACTGGAAATTTTGTTAGTTCAACATCTTCTTATTTTTATTCAGGATGAAAGTATGTCTGTAATATTTTCATATTTAATAATGTTTGTATTTATCTTATTTATCCTATTAAATGATCGGACACTTGCAATAGTACATAAACTGCTAGTTATATGGCATAATACTTAAATGAATCATTTTCATAATCAGTAAGAATACCTTCTACTTAATGTTGGTTGAACTATCTACTGCTTCATATTCAGTGTGTTTACAGTGTCATAGTAGTCCCAGAAGGAGAAACAAATTCAAGTGTCAAACTCTTTCAGTATGGCAAACAACAGAACTCTCAAAAAGATAACTTGTTCCCTTTGGAAATTAAGACATAAACAATAAAGTAAAATATCTCAAGCATTATACTGAACACCGTTACTGATGTGGTGTAAAATATATTAACAATAATATAAAAATCAAATCCATTTATGGGTCAAAATGAAGCTTCAAAATTCAGGAATGGAATTCTGAAAAAATGCAAAAGGAAATAAATTGAAAAATGTCTGCTTCAAAACTTCTTTGTCCATTCTGAAGCTTCATCATATTTTACAATAAAAATTGTTTTAATTTCATCTTATTTCACTTTTCATCAAAAACTGTAACAAAAAAAGTCCCACCTGCTGCTATTTTGTAATGCACATTTGAACTGGCATTTCCCTATGGAAAAAGAAGCATTCTATTTTACTTATATGACTAAGGATGCTCTATATCCTATGTATAAATATTAATTTTTTACAGTTCTTCTCTGTGACATAAGACAGTTTAAAACTCACAGCCAGGGAGAAGTTCAGCTGTTAAACCTGCAACCTGTCACAAAACCATATTTTCAGGGATAATCCTGTCAGCTGTCAGGGCATAGCAAGGACCAGGTGGTCCACGAGGGATGGTGAACGAAGAGCCAAGCAGGATAACAAGGCAGGTGGGATCAGCACCTTCCACTATGGAGTCAGGGTGTAGAGTGGCAAATCTGTGTGGCAATCAGGGTCAGACATCACCCAGTGCTCTCCCAGGACATCCACAGTGACACAGGGCTCTCACTGGCAATGGAGCTCCCCTTGGACTCCGCCAGCCAAAGGCTTTACCTTTGCCAAAGCATCTCCTAGAAGGGGGTTGTACATCTGGCCCTGACAGCAGTAATACAACAACACAGACTTAGCAGCTAAAGGTGCAGAATACAGTTGAATTACATAAGCATTTCATGTGGAGAAGTCATTCAAAAGCATGAATGGGTGACTATATAAAAAAAAAACCTGTTATTGTCACCTTCTTAAAATGCACCAAGATGCCCCTTAATTAGGAATAAAATAAATAAGGACTATGGGGAAACATTTATGAGGAAAAATCATCCATCAAAAGTAAAGCATAAGAACAGTCTGGAAAACCTCAGTGCATGCTTGCCAGACAGACATGTTCGAAGGGCTTCTGTAGAGCCACGGAAAACAAGTAATACTACAATGCAGGTTTTAATGCACGTGGAAAATAAAACTAACTTATAATTTGACTTTTTTTTCCTAAAACAATAGCTCCAAATTCCACTGAGAGTAATGGAAATCCTACCATGCGTGCCCGCAGGCTTTGTGCAGGCTGAGTGCTACATGCAACATTAGTTCCTGCCTCCAGCAAGGGTCCACCTATGGGGGTCAGCAACTGCAGAGTGAAAGAAATTATGAAGGGCTCATTCATTTCCAATCCCTCCATCATTTCTTGCCCAGATCCTTGCAGGAGTAAATATCAGATATGCAGTCTTTGCTCCTTGCAGGACAGCTAGAGACCTTACACACTAGCCTTGTTCTCCTTGCCCAAATGGTGAAATAAAGAGTGTTGCAGCCAATGTACAGGGCTCTGACAATACAACTGATTTCCTTTCTATCTTGTATATCAAGAGCTGCAAAAATATATCCTGAAGAACACGAAAAATGGGGGAAATGTTTTTTCCATTGCCTTTATTTTTCACCTTCATTTTTTATAAAAATCGAGACTGCTGAAACGCTCTACACATCAAGGCAATCTTTATAAACGTGGTGTGACTTCCAGCTAAAATAGGAGCATTTGGCATCTGAAAAAGCTTCCCACCTCCTCAAAAGGCGTCTTTTCATGTTTCTGAGGAAATCGAGCATTACAACAGAGACTTTCAAAACCAGTGTGAAAAATAAACAGTTAGCAACTTCAGCACATACATAATAAGGGAGCTCCAGATATCTGTAACTCAGGTTTGGACTGTTTTAATATAGCTACAATGATTCAACAGAAGTGTGTTGGAGATTTAAATGGCTTCTGAGGATTTCTATAGCAAGCAGGAAACAATCATATTCTAAAGGCGCTATTCTAAACAAACAAATGGTTCCACTGGAATTGTTAGCTCCCTGCAAAGTCTTTGAATATTAGTGTAGAACCATATTCACATTATATAATAGATTTCAATATATCACTGGAAGAATGCCTAACATATACGAATCATACCTACCTTTATTAGAAAGCAAGCAAAGCAATCAAAGGACTGTTCATTTCTTGGAATGATTGCTCTGGAGCTGGTCTGATACTATAGGAATTTGATACTGATCTTCAAAAGTAATAGCAAACAAATATATATATAACGGATTCAAATTCACAGAGTAAATACAGCAAGCAAAATGGTTTGTTTTCTTAGGTGTAGAATAATAGGATCACAGCAAATATTGTCAGACTCTGTGGATATGAACAGAATTGTATGGTCATTGATTGTTTATATACCACAGCACTGTAGAG